AAGCTTTTGTGAATTAAAGAGATTGTAGCATTTTTTTAACCTATATATATATTTATTTATTTATAAAAAAAAGTTCGGAACAACCTTACAACTATATGCTCTTGAATCTCCGCGTGATTTAATTTAGATGCTCATTCAATGCTGATTTCGAAACATCACTAGATGTTCGGCAAAATATGACTCTTGTGATGTCAATATCAGCAGCAGCCTCTGAGGTTGGTTCTTACCTTAAGTGCAAAGTTCTGCATTTAGTATTGAATTTATTTGATCAAAATGGCGCTCTTCCTTTTCTTTAAAATTTATATTTGGTGGTCTGTTTGTAATTCTTGCGTTAGGTCCTCGCTTACAATCTTCACTGTTCCCCCTTCCATTCTGATTTAATCTTCACTGCCATACAAGGCTCCGCTATTATAAATTCTTCTTATTATGAAAACTAAGTGATTCCAAATAATCGTGAACCTAACCTTTCCTCATCACAAAGACAGTTCTATGTATTCTTTGTTAAATTTACTAACTTCATTTCTTCGTTTGTCTGGTTTTGATTCGCTTAATTTCAGCATTTTATCAAGAAGCGTCAGTCCTACGTTAAGAAGAAAACGGCTATGGTTATGCGTTCAATAATCATATCGGTGCTAAATCTAGTTCTCAATCTACCATTTCACATTCTTCGAACATGGCTTACACTTGATGATGATGGTATTGATGAAAAAACTTTGTCAATCCTCGAACGTAAGTTTGTTTTTTCTGAATTCTCTGGTTTAAAATTCAACAAGACGATTACTTTTCAGCAATCGCACAAATTCTATATTTTTCACAATTCATGTGCAATGCCTTCTATCTGAGCACGAGTATCTACGAAACGAGCGGCACACCTCGTAGTAGTACTGTTGTAGTGAACAGTGGGCGACATATTTCACGTTGTCTATCAAATGATGATGATTCATAGCTTGCTATTACAACTCTAGATATGCAGTTGAACAGCGTACAATACAGTTTCAGAAACCTCTACATTCAAGGGTTATTGAATGCTTCTTGTACGACCTGCTTGTCTATATTCTTTGTGCTTGCCGTATTGAAACGTGTGCTTATTTGTCAGTTTCAGTTGAAAGCAACCACTTTATAGTGGTTTACAAGATTCTCAATCTCCAATGTTTCTCTGAGTAAGCGCTTC